CACCCCCCGTCTGCCTCCACCCCCCCCCCACCAGCCACGGCCACGCCCCTCACATCCCCCGCAGGCCTACCCTCTGCCACTCCCTTCCCCTTCCCTACCATTCCACTCCCACCCGCTACCCCTCCCCCTCCTCAATCCCTCACATACCGCCCTTCCTTACCCCCCACCCCAAACCCCCCAGCCCCCCCCCTGCCCACACTCTGTTTGTTTCCCCCCCCCTGCCCTGACCGACAACCTCCTCCACTCCACCTCTCCGAACACTCTCTGTTTGTCCCCCCCGCCCCCCCTGACCTCCCCCCATCCCTGCCCTGACCGCAACCTCTTCCACTCTCCACTTACCCCCCTCCGTCCCCCTCACCCCCTAAGAGAAACCCACCCCCCCACCCACCCCCCCCCACCCCCTCCCCCACACCACCCCCTCCCTCCCCCCCCCTCCGCCTACACCCTCCCTCCTCGCCAATGAGGCATTGATTTGAAGGCTCCAGTACACGCCCGCCCTCCCCGCCCTTCCCGCCCTTCCCGCCCCCTCCCCCACCCCCCCCACCCCCCCCACACCCCGCCTACCCTTCTCACCCCCCCACCCCCCAACCCCTCCCCACATTCTCACACCCCCACCGATTAGAAACCCACCCCCCCCCTGCCCTACCCCACCCGCTGCCACCCGCCGATGAGACAACGATAAACCCCTCTCACCCCCCCACCCCCCTTCGCTCCCCCCCCCCCTCACCCACCCTCCCGCACTGCTCCCCTCCCTGTTTGTTCCCCGTGTTTTTTCCCAGGGCCTTCCCCCATCCCTGCCCTGACCGCAACCTCTTCCACTCCGTTCCTCTGTCCGTCCCCCCCACCCCCCCGCCCCGCCCCCCGCCCCACCCACACCCCGCCCTGCCTCCACCCCCCCACGAGCCACGCCCCTCACATCCCGCACAGGCCTACCCTCTAAACCCCCCACCCCCCCCTGCCCTACCCCACCCGCTGCCGACCCCCCCCTCCGCCAAGACCTCCCCTCGCGGATGAGGCAATCATTTACAGGGTCCAGTACACGCCCGCCTTTTTCGTTTTTTCCGCCCTTCCCGCCCTTCCCCCCACCCCCCTCCCCCACCCCACCCCCCGCCCCCCTACCCACCCCACCCGCCCAACCCCCGCCGCCCCCTCCTCCCCATCCTGCAGGCCTTCCCTCTACCAGCTACTCCGCCCCTCATCCCTACCCACTCCACCTCTCCTACCCTTTTTCCCCTGCCCCCCCCACTACCCTTCCCCTTCCCAACCATTCCACTCCTCCTGCCCTGCCCCTCTCCTCTCCCTCCCCACCCGTCCTCCTCACCTCCTCAACCCCTCACATGCCACCTCCCCCCACCCCACCCCCACCCCCACCCCTACCCCAAACCCTCCCCCCCCCTCGCCTCGACCCTACCCTTCCCGCACTGGCCCCGCCACCCCCCCTCCCCAGCCCCCCTGCCCCTCCTCAATCCCTCACCTACTGCGTTCTCCAAACCCCCCCCCCCTCCGCCTATACCCCCCTCGCCGATACCCTCTACCCAACCATTCCACTCCCTTCCCCTGCCCCTCTTCCTCAGTACCCTTCCCCTTTCCAACCCCATCCCTTTACATATACCGTTTCAGAACTTAGAACCAAGGTTTACGGTTTCGGCGCTTAGAGCAGAGGCATTATCTCCCAGAGTTGAGCAGGAGAAGAAGGGGGGGGGGTGGAAACGAAGGGATAGGGTTTGGGCAGCTTGGGCGTTTGCCTCGAAGGGGTCGGCGGCACTGGCGGTAGCCATTAAATAATATAATATATATGTATATGCCATGTATATATATATATACACATGTCAGTCGGGAGGCGGCAGGCCTGAACCTGGACGTCCCAGTACGCGAAGACACCTGGAAAAAAAGAGAGCAAAGGACGTCACCCGATGAAAAAAGATAAGCGGAGGCTGTCGTTAAATGATGCAAAAAATATAAAATAAAGCGCTTTCTCGCAAGACCGAGTCACATTCCTGGGGATCCCCGGGATCCCATTTCACATTCAGCGTGAAGGGCTCCGGGGACGAGACCGTCCTGGCACAACGCGGCAGACCCCAAACTCCAAGCCCCGAACCCTGCCCCTAAACCTTGGGATGTTCCCCCTTATACGCACAATAGGGGTTATAAGTGAGGGAAAACTATAGTCCCTATTAAGGACAGGTAGGACTGCTAGTATCAGGGGGAACATAACCAGCCTAAACTAACCCTAAACCCTAAACCCTAAACCCTAAACCCTAAACCCCAACCCTAAACCCCAAACTCTAAACCCCAAACCCTAAACCCTAAACCCTAAACCCTAAAACCCTAAAACCCTAAACCCATCCAGCTCCCAACTGCACGCATCTGCAGGCCGGCTGGACATGTTATCAGGAACGTCGGACAGGAAGGGCCAGACTTCAGCCTCGGCTTAGGGTTTAGGGTTTAGGGTTTAGGGTTTAGGGTTTAGGGTTTAGGGTTTAGGGTTTAGGGTTTAGGGTTTAGGGTTCAGGGTTTAGGGTTTAGGGTTTAGGGTTTAGGGTTTAGGGTTCAGGGTTTAGGGTTTAGGGTTTAGGGTTTAGGGTCTAGGGTCTAGGGGTTGGGGGGGGTCCCAAAGCCCTCGGCCCTCCGACCGACGCACCCTGCGACCCCCTTTCTTAGGACGGAGCGATGAGCGTCGCATCCGAGCTCTCCGCCGTCCCATCGCTACCTCAGGTCCCCGAGGCGCAGGATTGTCGGGTTCTTGGGTTTTAGGGCTTGGGGCTGGGGGTTTAGGGTACCCGAAAGCCAGCGCAGGGGACAGCCGCCAGAGGGGTTGCAGAAATCCGCGAAAGCTCTGCGGGAGAGGATGTGTTCTAAGCGTTTAAAAAAAAAAAACGGGTTTTGCAAAGAGGGCTTTTATAAAAACCCTCTGTAAAAACTGTTTTTATGAAAACCCTCTTGGTGCTGCTCAGAAGTTCAAGTGGTCGACACTCTCAAGCTTCAGGCTTCCAACGCTAAGACTCGCACAGCGCTCCCGCATCTTGACCTCGTAGAAGCCGTAGCTCTTCACGTGGTACACCTGCCATGCACTTCTTGGTAGGAGCTCTGGAGCTCAAGGGCCCGGTGGCCACAAAACACACCGGGGCAGAATGGGGCCCACCGACTCAAAGCAAGAAAACCCCGAATGTCCCCAACAAACCCACAGAACACAAAAAGCCCTCTTGCAGCCAAACGAAGACCCTGAAGATGTGGTGGGTTCCATACAAAAATTGTGGCCTCATGTTTTTGGCGTACCTTTCTCCCTTTCCGGCCGGCTTTATGTTTGTAGGGGAAACAACCCCCGCGAAAAAGACAAACGAAAACAGACCCTAAGCCCCAAACTCCTGTGTACCCAAAGCAGGCCAATACCAACCCAAAACCCTAAACCCTAAGCCCTAAGCTCTAAGCCTAAACCCTAAACCCTAAACCCTAAACTCGGCCTTGCAGGTGGTGATCGACCTGTCCTGCAAAGCATGAGCCGGGCTTAGACATCCAAGGCACAGAAACTGGAGACAAAATGAAGTCCAGAAGAAGGTTTGGGGTTCAGGCGTTTGGGGCAGCTGAACCCTAAACCCGAAACGGTTTAGTGTTTCGGGTCAGGGCTTCGGTTTAGGGTTACGGACAGAAGGACGCTCAATTGAATATGCCCATGTGAAGGGCAGCTGTTTCTGAGTTCTCGAGCCTTGATCACGCACGTGGGCGGCACTTCCCAGGGTTCGTCTTCCACCTTAGCGAGCAATCATGGGTTCCCCGACTACCCCCCCCCTCTGTTCCACCAAACAGCAAGGGGCTGCAATTACAAGTCTTGGCAAGAGAGCCGACCCAGGGTCTCCACACACTAAATGAGACCACAGACTTTGACAAGGGGGTCTTGGGTTGAGCGTTAAGGGTTTTGGGTTTGGGGGCGCATCTCAGAAAGAGGCCGCTGTGCAATTTGTGTAGCCGACCCCCGCAATGCAGTGGATGATGAGCCGGATCTGCGCCGCGTGCGAAGAGGCTCTCAGGGAAAGTTGGGTACTGGATCTAGAGACCACCTACTATGGCACAATTCTGGTGTTGCCACCCTTAACCCTACCCCCCAAACCCTAAACCCTAAACCCCAAATCCTAAACCCCAAACCCTAAAACATCACGAGTGTCCTCCACGGTCCAGTTGCGGAACCGACAGTCGTTGGAGACTTGGGCGTCCCAGCTGAGTCTGAATGACCTAGGCATGCCGGCGTAGTGTTTACATAGGGTTTACATAGGGGTTTCGGGGGTTTTATGGGGTTTTTTTGTAGGGTTGAAAGGGGTTTATAGGGTTTACAAGGAGAAAAAAAAGGGTTGAAAGGGTTTAGGGCTTTGGCAGTTGAGGGTTTAGATCTCACAGAGGCTGCCTCGAGCACGGACAGAGCAAGAGGTGCTGGGCCACGTGCTGGTGGTCCGTCTCATTGACTTTGAAGTTGAGGGGTGTCAAGGTTGGCACGGGCGCCAGGGTCCTGGAGCCGCCCCACTGCACAGCAGAAGCATGCACGTCCCCTGGCACCTCTTTGAGAAGAGCCCTGTGACGCTGGTATCCTACCGCGATGTCATGAAAAGATAGCCGGGGGGGGGGGGGGTTCCCTCATCAGGGAGGCTGCTCTTGCATTGCTGGGGCTCATCCCAGTGCGAAGGAAGCTACCGTCCCCAAATCTGAGGGTTTTGGGTTTAGAAACCTTAACACCCTGGACCCCTAAACCCTAAACCCTAAAACCTTAAAACCCTAAAACCCTAAAACCCTAAAAGCCTACAACCCAAAACCCTAAACCCCTAAAACCCTTAAAACCCACAAGCCGGCCTCGGCAGCTGGTCGAACGGCAGGTAGTGGACTGGGCTGTCCAAGTACGCTGCACCTCAATGGGATGCGCTGCGGCGGGTATGCTTGATTTGGTTTAGGGTTTAGGGTTTAGGGTTTAGGGTTTAGGGTTTAGGGTTTAGGGTTTAGGGTTTAGGGTTTAGGGTTTAGGGTTTAGAGTTTAGGTTTAGGGTTTAAGGTTTAGGGTTAAGGGTTCAGGGGTCAGGTATGGGGGTTGTAGGAGGTTTGAACTAGGGTTTGGCGTTTAGAGAGGTTAGAGGCTTTGGTTCAGGGGTTCAGGCGGCCCCCCGCGCTCTGCAGCGTGCCTGAGTCCCTGACGCTCCCGCGAGCCCCCCCAAGGGTCGTAGATGGAGGTGTAGGTCTCACCTGGGCAGCTGACTTGTGAACCCGAATCCGCGCATGCTTGATCCAGGCCATGCCGACATGACCCTGAACCCTAAACTCCCTAAACCCTAAACCCTAAACTCCCTAACCCCTAAACCTGGACTGGGACCCAAACAGATTTCCTGCACGCGCACTTCGTACTCCGTGGCACTGCGGAGGTCGGACTGGCGCAGGCGAACGGCTGAATTCGACTCGCGCGTGGACGGTGGCGGATCACGAGGGCGCCTCTTCTCCCAAGTAGCCCTCGTGCAGCATCGTTATGGTGCAACCTGAGTTTAGGGTTTAGGGTTTAGGGTTTAGGGTTTAGGATTTAGGGTTTAGGGTTTAGGGTTTAGGGTTTAGGGTTTAGGGTTTAGGGTTTAGGGCTCCGACATACAGATCAGACCCTCGGCCTTGGCCTTACCCTCAGGTCCCGGACTGGTGACATCTCGCACATCGCGTCCACACTCGATGGCTTCTCGCCACACATCACCTTGGTGGAGGTTTGGGGGTTAGGATTTAGGGTTTAGGGTTTAGGGGTTTAGGGATGAGGGTTTAGGATTTAGGGGCCTCCTGTACTTGTTTTAAACTGTTCGAGGAGGAATGAACACCGGGCTGGCGCAGCTTGCAAGCGAGCAGGACAAGCGGGGTCTTATGAGCTCTTGAATACCTAGTACATCCTTACGTAAAAAGGAGTGGCCCGGATGGTTCCTCATATCCCAGAGATAGTTGACGAGGGCTTGGGAAACGATGCCTGACCAGCGGGATGTCTGCGGTCCTCGTTTCTGGTTCTTGCACCTACCAACTGTATGCGTGTATGCAGGTCCATAGCATGCGTGGTGGAATGGGTCGGATGGAGGAATCGCCACGGATTGCATGCACAACCAAAACAATCGCAAAAGGGCATTCTGCGAGAGGTGACAGGATTCGGGTCTTCAACCATACCTGTTTGTTGAGGACATGAAAGAAGCATGAGGCCTAATTATTTTTGATTACCCTCCTCAAGAACCGAGAACACCAGAAACAAATCTTAGGAAAATGTTTGGGTTCTAAGGTGAGCTCGCATAATAAGCCGATATCCGCCGACCCCAGCAACAGCGGGGCGGCGTCAGTGAAGACCCTCCCTGCCCTCACCGCAACCTCTTCCCCCTTCCCCTTCCCAACCATTCCACTCCACCTCTCCACTTGGCCTTGCCTTCCGCCCCTAACCTCCCACCACCAACCCCTTCCCCTGCCCCCCCTCCCACTACCCTGGGGGGGGGTCGGGGAGGAGGATGGGGGGGTGGGGGGGGGGGGGGGGGGGGGGGGGGGGGGGGGGGGGGGGGGGGGGGGGGGGGGGGGGGGGGGGGGGGGGGGGGAGGCGAGCAAGCGAAGTGGGCGGAGCTAGAGGCAAAGGCCAGAGGCAAAGGGCAGAGGCCCGGGGTGGGAGGGAAGGGCGGAGCAAGCGGAGCGGGCGGAGGGGGCGGGCATGCACTGGAGCCCTTTAAAGTCAGTCATCTGATCGAGTCTAGAGAGGCAAAGGGCCAGAGGCCCGTAAAACTGTCACGCCATGAGCCAGTGGGCACAGGGTCAGGGGACCATCAAGGGCATGGAGCCATTGGCCAGCTGGCCAGGGAAAGGGTTTGGGGGGAGGGTGATGGTGAGGGGGAGGGTGGGCGGAGCTGGCGGGAGGGGCGGAGCCCTTTAAAGTCAGTCAGCTGAGCCAGACACCCGTAAAATTAGGTGGCGCCACTGGGCATAGGGCCGGGGGGGTTGTGGGGTGGGTGGGGGGGGGAGGGTGGGGGGATGCAGGGCTGGAGTGGGGGGAGCGGTCAGGGCGGGGCCCTGAAACAGCAGAGATCCTGCATGGGGAAGGGGGTGGGGGGGGGGGGGCGCGTGGGGGTGGGTGAAAGCGTGAGAGGGGGGACAGATGGGGAAGGGGAGCGGTCCGGCGGCGGGAGCAAGGGGGAGGGGAGCGGGATGGTGGAAGGCAGGGCTGGAGTGGGGGAGCGGTCAGGGTGGGTGTGGATTACCCCATCCCGCTCCCCTCCCTTGCTTCCGCCACTCCGCCCTCCCCTACCCCCACCCCCGTTCCTATGCCCAGTGGCTCTGACCCTTTCACCTCACTTGCCACCCGCTCAGCACTCTGCCCTCCCCTACCCCCACGCACCCCCCCCCCACCCCCTTCCCGTGCAGGCCTACCCTCTCCCGACTGCTCCGCCCCTCACCGATCTCTGCTGTTTCAGGGCCGGAGGGCGGGGGGGGTGGGGGGGGGGGGGGGGGGGGGGGTGGGGGGGGGGGAAGGGCGGAGCAAGCGAAGTGGGCGGAGTGCGGAGTAGAGAGGCAAAGGGCCAGAGTGGGGCCATGAGCCAGTACGCACAGGGCCAGAGGACCATCAAGGGCATGGAGCCAGGGAAAGGGTTTGGGGGGACGGTGATTGTGAGGGAAGTGAGGGGGCGATGGGGAGGAGCGGGCGGGAAGGGGAGCGCTTTTTTTCGTCAGTGTAAAACCAGGTGGCGCCGCTGGGCATAGGGCCGGGGGTGGGTGGGGGGGGGGGTGGGGGGAAGGCAGGGCTGGATGGGGGGAGCGCTCAGCGCGTGTGGATTGGCCCCTGAGATTGGTGAGGGAGTAGTCGGGAGAGGGTCCCCTTCCTCCTCCCCTACCCCGCTCCCCACCACCCTTCCCCTTCCCAACCATGCCACTCCACCCCCATCCCGCTCCCTCCCCCCATCTCTGTCCCTCCTCTCACCGCTTTCACCCCGCCGCCCTCCCCTACCCCCACGCCCCCCCCCCCCACCCCCTTCCCCATGCAGGCCTACCCTCTCCCGACTACTCCGCCCCTCACCGATCTCTGCTGTTTCAGGGCCAATCCACACCCGCCCTGCCTTCCATCCCAACTCCCCAATCCCCCCCCCCCCCCCCCCCCCCCCCCCCCCCCCCCCCCCCCCCCCCCCCCCCCCCCCCCCCCCCCCCCCCCCCCCCACCCCCCCCCCCCCCCGCGCCGACCCGATCAGCTGACTCACTTTACCCTTCCCACCCCCACTCTCCCCCCCCACCCACCCCACCCCCCACCCCCCGCGCGGCCCTATGCCCAGTGGCGCCACCTGGTTTTACGGGCCTCTGGCAGACCCGATCAGCTGACTGACTTTACCCTTCCCAACCGCTCCCCTCCCCCTTGCTCCCGCCCCCGGACCGCTCTCTGTCCCCCCTCTCACGCTATTTCACCCCACTTGCCACCTGCTCGGCACCTGCTTTCCCCTGCCCCCACGCCTCCCCCCCCCCCCCACCCTTCCCCATGCAGGCCTACCCTCTCCTGACGACTCCGCCCCTTATGGATCTCTGCTGTTTCAGGGCCAATCCACACCCTGACCGCTCCCCCCACTCCAGCCCTGCCTTCCATCCCTCCCCCCCCCCCCCCCCCCACCCCACCCCCCCATTTTTCCCCCCCCAACCCTATGCCCCCAGTGGCGCCACCTGGTGTTACGGGCCTCTGGCAGACCCGATCAGCTGACTGACGAAAAAAAGGCTTCCCGCCCGCTCCGCCCACCCTCCCCATCGCCCCCTCACTTCGCTCACCATCACCGTCCCCCCAAACCCTTTCCCTGGCCAGCTGGCCAATGGCTCCATGCCCTTGATGGTCCCCTCCTGGCCCTGTGGCTACTGGCCTCATGGCCCCACAGTTTTACGGGGCTCTGGCCCTTTGCCTCTCTACACTCGATCAGATGACTGACTTTAAAGGGCTTCAGTGCATGCCCGCCCCCCCGCCCGCTCCGCCCCTCCGACCACCCCCCCCCCCCCCCCCCCCCCCCCACCCACCCCCACCCCCCCACCCCACCCCACCCCACCCCCCCACCCCCACTCCGCCCCTCCCCCACCCCCCTCCACTCCCCTACCCAGTGGCGCGCCCCCCAGACCCCCCCACCTCATGGCCCCACAGTTTACGGGCCCTAGATGAACTGACTTTTAGGGCTCCAGTGCCCGCCCCCTCCGCTTGCTCGCCCCTCCGTTTTGCTCCGCCCTTCCCTCCCACCCCCCCCCCACCCCCCCCCACCCCCCCCCCACCCCCCCCCCCCGCCCCCCACCCCCCCCCCCCCCCCCCCCCCACGCAGGCCTCCCGACTACTGTAACTCTACTGCCAAACTGCAGGTAAATAGAGTAAGAGACAGAAAGAAAGAGAGGGAGAGAGATAGACCCTAAACTCCACACCCTAACCCGAACCCCAAAGTCACAGAGCTTGAGCAAGGCCACCTGTGTAGTTCTCGTCCTTTATCTCCACCAACCACTTCTGGTACAGGCAGTCCTGTGGCACTGGGTTTAGGGTTTTAGGGTTTATGTTCAACCCTAATGCCCAAGCCCCCAAATCTGAAACCCTTATACAGAAGCAGCATTGAAGTTTGAATGAAGGGCTTTCAACGGCCAACGTGCCTTGTAAGCTTTCGCAATGCACCATGCAGTCGGTGTCGTTTAGATGCCATTCGGCATGTACATATACATGTACCACCCTAAACCCCAAAACCCAAAACCCAAGACCCTAAACCCTTTTAAACCCTGTAAGTGCAGAGCAGGAGCGGAGGGAGACGCAGGAGTGATGGAGCTGCAGCAGTAGCAAGAACAGCAGCAAAAGCTGGGAGCAGGTCGGTGTTGTTCTTGCTGCTATTATATACCTTTGTTGTTTTCCTCGGTTTCTTCTCCTTCGTTGTGGCTGTTGCTGCTGTTCGTGCTGTCATCGTCCGAACATCAAGCAGGGGGCAGGAACCCCAACGCACAACAACGGTCTTCCCTGAGTGGCAGGCACAGCTGAATCTGCCTGCAAGTTCCTAGGGTTTAGGGTTTAGGGTTTGGGATTTAGGGTTTAGGGTTTAGGGTTTAGGGTTTAGGGTTTAGGGTTTAGGGTTCCCATCCCCTGTCCTTCGGATCCCCCGCAGACCAAGCCAGCTCGAAACTGTAGGGCCCCGGGTTCATGCTGACCAGTCCTGGAGAGCAGGAAGCTGAAGTGAGACACATGACAAGGCATCCTTTGGGGTTTAGGGTTTAGGGTTTAGGGTTTAGGGTTTAGGGTTTAGGGTTTAGGGTTTAGGGTTTAGGGTTTAGGGTTTAGGGTTTAGGGTTTAGGGTTTAGGGTTTAAGTTCCTAAACAAGCCACCATCCCTGGCAACTGTTCTTGTCTAACCCCCCGTGAGGTCCTCATAGGGGTGGTTGTACCCTAATACTTCGGGCACCCTAGAAGGGATCATAACTTTGACAGCCACCCATAGGGGGCTCGTCAGCCCCCACTGCCAGTCTTAGCACCTGATGACTGAGGCCAACACCGAAGGGCGTCGTTGCCGCCAATGGCACAAGCGTCTCGGCCTGCGGGGCTCGGGGCTCGGGGTGTAGGGTTTAGGGTTTAGGGTTTAGGGTGTAGGGTGTAGGGTTTAGGGTTTAGGGTTTAGGGTTTAGGGTTTAGGGTTTCAAGGGCCGCCGGGAGCCATTTTGAGTCTAGGATTTAGGGCATCTCCGAAAAGGCCAGGAGCAACGTCGCATGATGGTTGTCATCTTTTTCGGGCTTAAGATGCTTTTGGGTGAGAGGTTTAACGGTTTAACGGCTTCTGGTCGATGGAGGATTGAGGCGCACAAACTGTCGCAGTAAACAAGGCATCACCTAACCCCGGAACTCGAAACCAAGCGGATCAAGAGGCTAGGGCCAGGGCCGGGAAGGGTGTGGGGGGAGGCGGGGGTGTTGCAGCTATTTTGCAGGCGGTCGCCGCTTGCACACGAGATGTTCTTGTGTCGCGGCGGGCCCAGTCGGTCGGGCCGGCGAGGATGAATCAGTCTGCTTGCGGGGCGCCCTGCGACTTCTTGAAGTTTGAAGCAGCGAAGCCACGATCCGCCCTCCACTCTGGAGCTGAAGGTCTTCAAGCAAAGCTGTGCTTACCATCTGGGACTTGAAGCCTCGTAGTGTCGCTCACATATTCTTGAACGCAAGTGAGCCAGCCAGTGGCAGGCAGAAGAGGACGGCTGCCCGGCTCGTGTAGCTGGTGCCCCTCATTCTGGCAAAGGGGTTAAGGGAACTGGGCTCCTGTGTAGCCGAGCAGTGACCACGTCCGAACACGGCGAACGTCCGAGAAGGCCATCGTCGAGAATGGATCTCAGGGAAGCAGAGAAGCGAGTTCCTAGCGCAGCAACACCTACGTCCCTAGCACAACCTACGCAACAGCCCGACGACCCTGCCTTGGTTCAGAAGCATCCGGTCCCACCAGATCTCGGTGTAGCCCAAAGCAAGAAGCCGCTCCTTGATCCAGGCCCCGTGGTTTGGCAACGACAGGTTCAGCAGCAGCACCAGCCGAGGCGCGCAGGCCTTCTCCACCTTTTGCAGCTTTTCTTTGCAAGATCAGCTCTCGTACCCAAAGACGTGTGCAAACTGTTTATGTCATGTAATCCTGCATAATCATTTGCTATTGCAACTCAAAAGGTCCTGAAGCCACTCCACCAGCCAGCCGTCTGCCGCGGAGCCGTCGGAGTCCAGGAAAACCAGGTCCACGCCCCTCAAACCCTCACAGGCCGCCTCGATGGCACCGAACTCGTAAACACAGCGCTCCGGGCAGTCCAAGGCCCACAGCGAGGAGCACAACGTGCAGTCGCTGCTGTTCGGCCGCAGCGGCCCGGCCAGGATTCCCACGGAAACCTGGGCATCCTTGGAGCCCGAGCCCGAGTCCATCAGGCTTCGCAGGCGCAGGCTGGCAGCGCGCAAGCGCTGCAGGCGCTGCAGGCGGGTGCCGCCGACGGGAAGGCGCCTCGGCCGCCAGGGCGCCAGCGCCGCGCGCGCCCTGCGTGCACGCTGGGGCTCCGGATCCTCGAAGCCGATCACGACGGCACGCTGCGCCTGCTCTGCTCCCTGTCCTGCACGTGCCGACATGGCCGCGGCCGCGGTGGCCGCACTGCAACCGGAGCCGACAAACATGTCGAAGACGCGGGATACACGCCCCCTCACAACGGCGCACCAGATGAGCCGACCCACGCGAGTGCCTTCGGTGGCAGCGTAAGCAGACTCCCTGCACTCGGCGCTCGGCTGCGTGTGAGGCGCCGGTTCTCGCATGCACTCATCCACATCGAGCTTCAGGTTCTCGTGCACACGGTCTGCAAGGCGAGGGTGTAGCCAACGAGTGCAGCAGAGGTCAAAGCTGAGGCCCTGCACCCAGCAGCCCGGATCCCCAAAGGGTGGGTTGGCACAACAGCGCTGTGGAGTCAATGGCTTGACTGCCGGAGCCAAGTCTGCTGACCAGCACGGGTGTCCCGAGACGGCACTCTCCTGCGCTCCTGGCGTGGCGGGCTTCGTTTTCTCTCAGCCAGGGCAGGGGACTTCTCAAGGTTGCATCAGGACACATGCTTTATAATGCTTTGAGATCTTTTCACCGGTCACGTCCTGCAGAGATTTGCACCAGAAGCCATGCAGCAAGAGCTCTCCGATTCGCAGCATGCTCCCGTGACTGCAACATGACATACCATCAGCTCGCGAATGTAATTGCCAGTCTTGCCGCGAGCACCGAGTCGGCGGCATGTTGCATCGGGCTGCTACGGCAACTTGACGACACGAGGGTTTAGGGTTCAGGGTTCAGGGTTGTAGTTTTTAGGTCTTAGGGTTTAGGGACCCCAAAACCCGAAAGCCCGAAAGGTTTGTGTCCGTGGTTGGCATTCCAGTCCACTGTGATTGCTGCTGAGTGTGGGCTCTGTTCACTAGCTCTGCAGGAGTCCGGGAAGAATGTACTCTGCATCCGCACCCCGATGTAACCCCCCCTAAACCCGTACATCCTCTCCTCTAAACCGAAACCCACAAACCCGGCCTGGCGGTCTGGCAGCTCGGAACTGAAGTCGCTGTCCAGCAAGGTGGTGTAGCCATCGTAGCAGGTCTCGCGCACCTCCACTAAAGGCAACAGATGCGTCCGGGGTTGGTGGGCTCAGTTTCTCGGATGCCTACACTTGTTCATTCAACTTTCCGGAGAACGGCGGATGACCATTTCCCCCCAAAAAAAGTTGACCCAGTTGGAGTACCCTAGATGCAAGAGGCCGCCTATTGCAACGGAGGGAGCACGATGCCCCAAACCCTGAACCCACCGAATCGGATCCAAAGGCCCCTCAAGACAAGGGAAAAGCCTTCGCATCGTAGATCGAGTGTTTCCGCAGTCTGGGCACCACGCAGCCTTGCGCAAAACAGAAAGCCCTGGGTTGAGGGCCCAGTAGGGCTAAGACCCTGGACCCTAAGCCCCTTAAATCCTAAAGACCGGAACCCCTAAACCCTAACAAAACCCCCAAAAATCCTGCTGGACCTTAGGGTGCAGCATTTATAGGGCTAACGGAAGACGCGAACGGCCGACCCTGATGGCCGTGGCGGCGTCAACTCGCGAGATGCCGAGATCCGGGCGCATGCGATTCCGAGGGAATGCCTCCTGCGAACGGCAGCCGACGCAGCCCACTCGTATGGGGGCTGACGAAAATAGGGGAACCCCCAGTATGGACCCTCAAATAGTAGGATTCCCTTACCCCAAATAAGGTACCCTGACTGATTTCGGAGACCACCATATTAGAGGCCTAATATAGACGACCAAGTAAGTTTTATCAACAGACACAAGGTTCGCCGGCAAGGAAGCTCCGGCGTAGTTCAGCGTTGTTCTAAGCAAGGACTTTGGGGTCCTTTGATATCGGGAACCCTGATATACAAAGCCTGTATCAGAAAAACGCTGAAGGTTTAAGGCTTCTAAGGGTTTGGGGCGCGCCCTTTGCGGCAGGCTCCTCATTCTTGCACTCATCACGTGGCACCCAGAGCGAGTAGTTCAACTCCTTAGGTTCCATTTTGTGTGCCTGAGGTTTAGGGTTTAGGGTTTAGGGTTTAAGGCTTAGGGTTTGTTCCACCAGACCACAGGACGTGCGGCCGTCCAATCTTGCCCCAAAGACCAAGCGGCCGTGTAGTTGGTCTCGTTGCTGAAGTTGCCTTCCGTCCAGTTCTCCCTCACCTCACGAGGGCATGAGGGGGCTTTTCGGGTTAAGGGATTCAACGCTGCAGCACTCTAACGCTACAACGAAGGCAGCAACCGGTACCATGAGACACGAATGACATGAAGCACCTCCACAGCCCAGCCAGTGAAGTAGCAGTCCTTGCCAGAGTCGCGAAAGGGTTCAGGGTTTGGGTTCAAGGAAGAGCAAATGGAGCCCTACACCCGAAACCCTAAACCTAAAGGGCGACGAAACCGGGTAGGGAGCCCACGTATGCATCACCGGCATCAAACTCCAGCAAGAAGGTATATGCCTTCAAGAGGGAGCAATGCACATGAACTGTGGTGACAGCCAGATGAAGAAGGAGATTGATTGAGTGCTCCACCGTCTCATTGCTCACGGTGAGATTCTCGGGCGCATCTGCGGGAACGGTGGCAATGATGGTCGTGACCTTGCTGCATGAAGTCGAGCAGTCTTCACCAACCTTTCAATCCAAGGCTTGAGCCCCAACCCTAAACCCTGCACCCTAAACCCTAAACCCTAAACCCTAGACCCTAAACCCGAGAGCGACTTGGGCGACGACGTTCTCCTGCAGCATCGTGAACTCGCCATTGGCATTTGGGTCCGTGCAGGTCTCCTGCGACGCAAGAGCAGGCCAAGCGGCTAAGGGCTCGGGCTTGGCGGCATGCTTTTCTCCACCACTTAGAGAAGGCTGCTTACACTTCCTGTTCCCCGAGCACCTTATACATTGGGGGGGCACCTATTTCTGGGGTCCTTAAAATTAGGGATCCTACTATTTGGAGGTGTTTCTTACGGGTCCCTTATTTTCGTAAACCCCCTTATCAACACTTCGAAGAGGCAAAGATTTGCTGCTTCTCTGACCGGACAGCCCGACACCGCCAGGACGCCTGAATCCGCACAGCGTATGTGGAGTTCTGCTTCAGCCTCGACTTCATCCGCTTAGGGTTTAGGGTTTCGGGTTTAGGATTCAGAGTTTAGGGTTTGGGGTTTGGGGTTTGGGGTTTGGGATTTGGGGTTTGGGGTTTGGGGTTTAGGGTTTAGGTCTTTGATGTCTTGGGGAGTACATGGGCCGGACTAAGCTTTCGACCTACCAGTGCACACTGGTGGATCCAACATAACTGTATGTTATGGATCACAACTGAACGGACACTCTGAGGGCCCCTGCGTCCGTGGCAGGTCGCCTCGGACAGAGATTGGAAGCGGCTTGAAGGCGCTTTGTGCTTAGAGGGTTTAGGGGATTTGAGGGTTTGGGGTTTCTTCTTGTTTTTTTGGAGGGGGGGGAAGGGAGGAGGGAGGGGGGGGGGGGTGGATTGTGTTCAGGGCTTTGGGATACACGTGGTGCTGCAAAGAGGACAGGAGGAGGGACCCTAAACCCTAGACCCTCGACCCGAAACTTGGGATGTTCCCCTAAACCCTAAACCCTAAACCCTAACAAAGAGAGGCTCCCAACCCACCTCGCCTGGGCGGCAGCGAGGCCGCTCGCGCGACGCACCGCAGGCATGCCGGACCTGGGACTGGCTGTTTAGGCTTCAGGGTTCAGCGTTTAGGTTAGAGTTTAGGGGTTTGGGTTTGGGGTTTAGGGTTTAGGGTTTAGGGTTTAGGGTTTAGGGTTCAGGGTGTAGGGTTTAGGTTTGGGGTTTGGGGTTTACGGTGTTTCGGGCTTTAGCGGGGCGCGTCGGATGGAATTCGGAGCTGAAAGTGCGTGAACTCAAGGACCCAGGACCTAGGCACCCCCTACTCACCCAGAGTGGGCAACGACTCGCACCTCCCCTGCTCTTGTGGAATTTGGGCTAGGAACCTCTTAGGGAAATCTGAGTACCTCCTGTGACTCAGGGACTGACCCTGCACGCCGTTTCTAGGCTCTAATCAGGGGTTTAGGGTCTCGGGCTTAGGGGTTTCGGGTTTTGGGCATGCCTCTTCTTGTTGCGGCGACTGCTAAAACACCTGTGGGCGGCGACAAAAAAACCTACAGTGAGGGAAGTTCTTGCCTGTAAGGATTCTGATTCCGCGAGCTTGCCCACTTCGAGTTTTCGCTGAAGCGCCATGGTTCTCGTTTTGGCTTACGCGGTTTCGGCTCGTGCTTCGGGTTTTCTCATATGCGAGCTTACGCCAACCGTTTGGATCCGTTTGGAGCGCGCAGTTGCTTCTGCGAGGCTATGCAAGCTCTCGCGGTTCGAGAATTAACTCCCTTGCCTGTTTGCCTCTGAGGGGGTTCTAATCTCTGCTCCTGCGTAGCTTTCGACTGTTCAACCCTCGATCTCGCCCCTCGAGACTGACTCCAGGCCCAAGAGATGAAACCCCAGTTTGAGAAACCCAGCGCACGTGAGCATATAAACTCAGGGCCCTTCGGCCCCCAGCACCGGGAATGACCGGGGGCGCCGCCCAGACGCCCGAGGGATCTTGGAACGCCGGGAGGGGTGCGAAGGCCCAGTCATCGGGCTCTGGCGAGGTCTGGTACACCTCCATAACCTTGCGGGCTGAGAGGCGTGCCTAGGAGCAGCTAGGGGGCATGTCAATCAGTGGACAGCAAGATGAAGCTTCCTAGTTCTTCAACCCGAAACCCGACTCCCGAAACCCTAAACCCGAAACCCGAAACCCTAAACGATCCCTAAACGTTTACCGTTTGAGCTAGGGGTTCTTTGGAGGCTTGAGGGGAGTCTGGGGTCCTCCGCCACATCTGCTGGAACCCAGCAACGGGGCCCGCACCCACTCCTTGAAGATGCATTGCCCGCTGGCACCGGCCTGGAACAACTTCGGGGGTTCAGGGCTCTTCCTATGGAACAAGGGACTTGGGCGCCTTAGATGGGATTCTACAGGAATGTAGGGTACCTACTTCCCTCCCGACTCAGAACCGGTAAAGTTGATGGTTGTGGGGCTCGAGGGCAAAAAGGGGTGTGCAGAGTTTAGCTTTGCGTTCAGTGGGCGAAGTGATCGCTGGGTAACTCAGTTCGTGCACCTTGCCCCTTTTTTGCTGTCGTGCTCCTAAGCCCTGAACCCTAGGGTTTAGGGTTTAGGGTTTAGGGTTTGAACCCTAAACCCTAAACCCTCAACCGCCTAAACCCCCTAAGCCTCTGCCATTCTCGACAACGCCTGTCACCGGGGCACCTTCCACCACACGTCGAAGAAGAAGGCAGTGATGGAGTTCGGGACGATCTGCAGGTCCTCTTTCAGTGGAGGGTTTAGGGGTGTTAGGGTTTGGGGTTTAGGCTTTAGGGTTTAGGGTTTTGGGTTTAGGGTGTAGGGTTTAGGGTTTAGCGGAAGGGGCCAGGGAAGCAATCAACTCAAGACGTCACACCGAAACCCCCTCATTCGACTGAGGCCACGGCAACTGGCATACCAGCTTGAACGGGCATAGTCGTCTTGATGGGGTCCGAGTAGCCCCAGTCACTGTCGTAGATGAAGTCCGTACACACCTCCCTCACACGCACCTGCCAAAAGGTTCAGACGGCCCACTGCAATCGAAGAAGAGCACGCAAGGCTGGACGCGCGGCTGCCTGATAGACCGTGTAGCTCTGCAGACCTGTAACGCTGCAGGTGACCTGTCCATGATCACGAACATCTCTGCAACTCTGGAAGCAATAATTAAGGCGGGATGCGGATCGCAAGGCCAAGTCCCGGACATTCTCCCGGAAAGGAAGATAGCATTCTGTCAAGTCCATCCAGTCTGTCGCCAGCCTTGAGAAGCAATCACCGCAAGCAACAGCATTGACGAAAGAGGGCCTGCAATGCCTGCAGGGCTACAACCCTAAACCCTAAACCCTAAACCCTAAACCCTAAACCCTAAACCCTAAACCCTAAACCCTAAACCCTAAACCCTACAACTACACAGCACCCCTGAACTCAGCCCCAAGATGTGTGGATTTGAAGTGGAAGCACTGAGAAAGAGCGCCTTTTGCTGTGTTCCGCCGCCTCGCTGGTCGGGAATCGTGCCGACCCCTCGCCTGTTCTGTTAAGGCGAAAGCAGAGCCGACCTGGAAAATCCGGGGGGAAAAGGCGCCCGCTGGTGCCTCCTGTGCCTCATCCCCAAAGAGCCCAATACCCTCCGAATTCAGGAACGCACCTTCAATCATCTTCAGGACCCCTATACAAGTTCACGTACATCCTCAGGGAGATCCCTATACAACCTAAGGGTAGATACTCCTTAATGACACAAATTAATAAGGTACATCCCCTGAATTAAGGGGATCCCTATACAACCTAAGGGTATGTACTCCTCAATTAAGGGATAACTTGGGCTCTTTGGGCCTTTGGTGCGAACCGCACATCAGACCCTTCAAAGCTTGGAAGAGGGCGCCAGGCTCTCGACTGCCGCTTTGGCAACTGCCGCGTCTTCGTTGGGCTTCACCTAGTTCATGGTCGGGACAGTCTGAAAAATTTGAATTTCTACTCCTTATTGAGCTTAAGTACCCTGAAAAATGTAAAAATGTTACCCTAAACCCTAAACCCTAAACCCTAAACCCTAAATCCCACGATGACAAAGTCACGCCGGAGACGCCGCACGCGCCGATGATCCGCCCGTGGCTTGGGTCAATGATCGGCACCTAGGATGGCCCCTAAAATCCCTCTGAAAGATATTCCTACATACGATCCTCTTAGACTATTAGGGTTTAGGGTTTAGGGTTTAGGGTTTAGGGTTTAGGGTTTAGAGTACATAATATGGGAAAACATAAAACATCCCAAGAATATGATCCTCTCAAACCCGATAAGGGGGAAATTATATAAAATATCCCGAGGGCCTACCGAGGCACTCCGCCTTCCATGAGCACCCGGCCAGATGTGAGCAGCGCGGCACGCTCGCCGCCGTTCGACTTGTCTCCGTTCACGGCGGCTTCCAACATCTTTGTCTCCTTGGGATATGTCGGAATATCCCTAAACCCCTAAACCCTAAGCCCCAAACCCTCAACCCCGAAACCCTAAACCCCCACTCTGTGAGGCTCACTGAAAGGCTTGGAAAGATCCTGCCAGAATGCAGGCCAGCATCCCGGGCGAAAAGGACTGCCGACCGTGCCTTCTCTGTCGCGATCTCAGCACCGATGGGCATGCAGCCATCCATGCGGTGCAGCGCGATCAGGTTTCCACCAGCATCGCAGATTGCGACAGTGACTTTCCAACCTGCCAGGTTTCGTACATGCTGGCAACAGCAGCGACATACTTTGAATCAGCAAGCGGCTGAGATGCCTGCAGACATCTATAGAACCCCTGATCCTTTTTTTGAGGCAACAACCCTGGCTTTCCGGCACGGGCCTGACTTCTCGGCTGCAGCTATGCCCGCGCGCACCGCTTTATCCGCACCAGCCAGCGTCACCGCCGAGCTGGGAACGATGGACATGGCCGGAGGATATAGGCCAGTAATTTGAGGAGATTGCGCACTTCAGTACTCCCAAAAGCTTGCACTGGAGCGGCCACAGCATGACAAGGGTCCAACTAAAAAAAAAAATATATATATATATATATACATGCTTATTTCTTTATGTATATTTATTTATTTAATTATACATATATGTATTATTGTTATATATGGGTGCTATAGAGTGCTGTGTAGCTACCAACAGCCGCACCAGCAAACGGTCACAGGGTCCGGGCGGGCCGCCATCCCCTTGTAGAAGCTGCACCTGCGTAGCTAAATCTTCTACATGCTGTTGCTGCCTCCTTTTTTGGTGTCCCTGAGTGCATTGCACCTCCCAAGCAGACCACGTGCAGTCCAAGCCCAAGCCCGGCTCGAACGTGAACGTCCTCAGCAAGAAGAAGAGCGGAAAGAAATGCCACAAAGTCAGCCAAGGCAAGAAGCCATCATTCGTTTCCTGTAACGTGAAGAACAAACGAGAAGCTTTATGTGGGCTTCCCTAATATAGACCCCCAAAAAGTAGGATCCCCTTACAGTACGGACCCCAAAATTAGGTACCCCCCAACTATCATAAACCCCTCATGTCGCAAGCTCCGGGGGGGGGGCTACGCTGGGCGTCGGGCAAGTTGTAAGCTGTAAGTTCCACAGCCGTGAAGTTGCTCGGGATCTGCGCTGGCTCCGGCCAGGTGAGGACGAAGTCCGGCCACTCGACCCATGGACTGTCTGCCAATGGGTCGGTACAGCTCTCTTTCATCCGCACCTTGCATGGTAAGAAAAGAGCAAGAGAGCAAGAGAG